TCCCCTTTAGAATGATGGCAGAAATATATGAAGGGTTTTTTTCCAGGGAAAAAGAAGAATTAATTGCCCTCATCCCCAAAAAAGCTAATTGGGTTGGCTTAAAAATTCTCTATATCCATTCCTTAAGACCCATAGTACATTAATTAAAATAATATAAGGCAAATTAGATTCTACAAATCTTACACTTACTTCTGCTGGGATTGAACCCAGTTCGAGGAGGTGGGGTTGTTGCTGGATCTGATGGTTGTGATGAAGGAATAGGAATTGGATCAGACGGTGGAGGCTGTGGCTTTGGCTGTGACTCTGGGGGATCAGAAGGAGGAAGAAGAGAAGATGGGTTCTCAAGTTGTTCAACCATATTGTAAGAGATGAGGGTTCTGTCTCTGTCTCTGCAAGTAAGTAGTAACTTTTGTAGGAGACGAGCCTTTTTAGGCTATGGTATTGTGAACCCATCTTGCCCACCAGCTCTCTTTGTTCTACTGTTGATTTGCAGGTAAAATATGTGAAGTAGATGTTGGTGGAATAGCAAAAAAGAAATTCTTACCAGCATCTGGAGTAATATTTATAATAAAACCAAATAATTTAATATTTCAATTTAAAAATTTAATTTATGTTATGAAATAAAGACTATAAAGTAAATAAATCAAAAACAAGTATATAGAAATAATGATATATTTTTTAACTTCAAACTGTGTTATACTAAAATTTTCTCTATTTGCAGAAGAAAGGAAGTTGATGCGTAAGATGTTGTATAAGTTGCTTGTAAATTGCTACCGTAAGCTGCTGTGTAAGTTGTTTGTAAGCTCCTACCGTAAGCTGTTGTGTAAGCAGCTTACAAGCAGCTATAGATAATTTTCGAAAGGAAGTAATACTTATCCACAACATAATATCGAAATGATAAGCTTCTTTAGGAGGCTAATTTCCAATAGAGTACTAAATAGATAAACATATTTACGGCGGAGTCCAATATGGATAAGCTTCTTCGTGAAGCTTATTTACAACAAAGTACTAAATAAACATCCACAATATAACAACAACAATATAATACCCAATGTAGTCCACAAATAGGGTCTGGGGAGGATAGAGTGTACGCAGATCTTACCCCCGACTTTAAAAAGACAAAAAGGCTGTTTTCGGTAGACCCTCGGCTTAGGAAGGGGAGAGGGGAGGGGAAATAACAAGCAAACCGATCTGACATCCAAAGCAAAAATACAAAACTAGCAAAAGGTAATGCAATCAAAAAACCGAAACACAAGACAACATCAAGTAGTAACCGAAGACTAGGGGTACGAAAAATAACACGAAAGGCACCAAGTGGTGTGTCAAAGCTACTGCTACAAACAAGGACAACACTCGACTACCTAACCCTTTACCTTTATTCTCAACCTCAACACCTTCCTATCCATGGTCATGTCCTCAATGAGATGGAGCAATGTCATATCTTGCCTAATCACATCCCCCCAATACTTCTTCGGCCTGCCTCTACCTCTACGTTAGTCCTCCAATGCCAGCTTCTCACACGTCCTCACTAGAGCATTAGTGTTTTTCCTCTTCACATGCCCAAATCATCTTAGTCTCTCCTCCCGCATCTTGTCATCCGTAGGGGCCACACCCAACTTGTCTTGGATAACTTCATTTCTAGGTTTATCTAACCTGGTATATCAAATATTCACCTCAACATCCTCATCTCCTCCACCTTCATCTTCTGGATATGGGACGTCTTGACCAGCCAACACTCCGCCTCATACAACATAGTCGGCCTGACCACAATATAATATATTGATAACACTCCCCCGTAGATGTTCATTAAAAGATAATGTGCCTCATTAAAATCTAACTAGGAAAAATCCGGTGGAAAAAATCCTAGTGAAGGAAAAAGAGTACACATATTTAGTAGTAGTTGCCTCATTAAAAACCTTATAAGAAAAAACCTATGGAAAAAACCTTAATAAGGGAAAAAGAGTACAACGCGTTTTTACTTCCCCTGACGAAAATCTTATTTCAAATATTTGAGTCTTTGAATTCCATTCTTGTATACCATCTTCTCAAAAGTTGAAGTTCGCAAATATTTGGTGATAAATCTGTCGGATTGTCACTTGAACGGATTTCCTGCACATCGATATTACCATTCTTCTGATAATCATGTGTGAAGAATAATTTTGGTGAAATATATTTCTATTTTCTTTTATGAATCCTCCCTTCAATTGGGCTATGCATGCAATACTGTCTTCATATAAAATTGTGGGTCTTTTATCACATTCCAAACTATATTTTTCTCGAATGAAATGAATCGCTGAACAACCATACGCATTCCATACTTGCTTCATGAATAGCTATTATCTCAGCATGATTTGAAGAAGTAGTAACAATAGATTGCTTTGTGGAGCGCCATGATATGATAATACCTACACATGTGAACACGTAATCAGTTTGAGATCGAGCTTTATGGGGATCATATAAAAAACCTACATCTACATAACCAACCCGATCTGCACTACCTTTGTTAGCATAAAACAAACCTATATCAAGATTGCCTTTTAAATATTGCAATATATACTTAATCTCATTCTAATGTTTTCTTGTAGGAGAAGAGCTATATCTTTCTAGTAACTTAACAAAAAATGCAATGTCAAGCCTTATAGCATTAGCAAAATACATAAGTGCACCAATTGCACTAAGATAGGGTATTTCAGAACTAAGGAAATCCTCATCTTCTTCGGGAGGTTGGAATGGATCCTTATTTACTTCAAGTAATCGAACAACCGTTAGCGCACTTTGTCCATGGAAAAGCATTTTAAGATCTTTTCTGTATAGGTAAATTGATAGATAAAGATTATGTCTTCTAAATGTTCAATTTGCAGACCAAGACAAAGTTGTCTTTCCAAGATCTTTCATCTCAAATTCTTTCTTAAGATATTCAATTGCCTTTTAGAGATCTTTTAGAGTTATTATAAGATTTATATCATCAAAATAAACAATGAGTATAATGTAATTTGATGTTGATTTTTTATAAGAACACGTGGATAAATGACATCATTTATATAACCGACATTAATCAAATATTCATTGAGGCGATTATATCACATGCAACCTAATTGTTTTAAACTGTATAAACATTTTAGTAATCTGATCGAGTACATTTCTCGAGACTTTGGACTATATGCTTCAACCATTTTGAATCCTTCGGAAATTTTCATATAAATTTTGAAAAGCTATATCAATAGTCTCTAACTATATCTATTATCGTCTTAAATGACATGACATCTTCTGGTGGGTGGACTACTAGTCCTGTGATAATCCGGCCAGTCGTCTCATGAGTTACTGCTCCATTTTCCCTATTTTTTATTTCATTATGCTTTGTTCATCCGTATTTTGTGGTATCAGATTGGTCAGATCGAATCCGAAATGATTTTGGTAAGATTTGAGACACTTAGTCTCTTTTAAGGAAGTTTAAGTTGGAAAAGTCAATCGGATGTTGACTTATGTGTTAGAGGGCTCGGATGTGAGTTCCGATGGTTTGGTTAGCTTCGGGAGGTGATTTGTGACTTAAGAGCATGATCGAAATGAATTTTGGAGGTACGTAGTCGATTTAGGCTTGAATTGGCGAAGTCGATATTTTGGCGAATTTCGGTTGGTAGACGAGATTTTGATATAGGGGTCGGAATGGAATTCCAAGAGTTGCAGTAGTTCCGTTGAGTGATTTAGGATATGTGTGCAAATTTTCAGGTCGTTCGGATGTGGTTTGGTTGAGTTTTTGATCAAAAGCGAAATTTAGAAGATTTTAGAAAGTTTGGCTTGAATCCGATGTGTTTTGGGTGGTTTGATGTTGTTTGGGGTGTTTTGATGATTGAAACAAGTTTGAATAATGTATTAAGATATGCTTGTGCTTTTGGTTGAGGTCCCGAGGGCCTTGGGGTGACTTGGGTGGTTAACGGAGAAGTTGAGATGTTATTTCAGTTGCTGAAATTGCTGCTTCTGGTGTTTTCGCACATGCGGTTTGGGGACCGCAGGTGCAGCGCCGCATGTGCGAGAGAGTGGCCACAAAAGCAAATTATGGGGAATTTTCAGGGATCGCAAAAGCGGCTAAGAGGACCGCATCTGTGGAGCCGCAAATGCGGATGGATGATTGCAGATGCGGATGTGGTCGGTTAAGTGATTTCCGCAGAAGCAGAATAATGACCGCAAATGCGGTACCGCAGATACGGTTGAAGGACCGCAGATGCGAAAAGGCCTGGGCAGAACATATAGGTTATTTCATTTCGCGAATTTGAGTTATTTCGCCATTTTTGACTTCGGCTTGAGAGCTTTTTGGGCGATTTGAGAGAGGGATTTCAAGAGAACTTCATTGAGGTAAGGAATTCGGACCTAAAACTCGTTCCTATGCTATTATTTCATGGATTAGAGCTAGAAATTTTGGAAATCAAAGGTTAAAATTGGGGAAACTAGGGCTTGGAAACTTAGGCCTTTAATTATAGATTTGAAGGACCATTTGGGGTCGGATTTGAGAACTTTTGATATGTATGAACTCGTGAGGAGATAAGGAACCTATTTATGTAAAAATTATTGAATTCCGAGACGTGGTTTTGGGGGTCGGGTTTTGTAATTTGGGGATTTGTGCCCTTTATTGATTGTTTTCGCTTGAGCTTCGTTCCTTTAGCATATTTTGATATCCTCGTTTTGATTTTGGATAGATTCGACGCGCGTGGAGGCCGATTCGAGGGGCAAAGGCGTCGCGAGATAGAGATTTAGCCTGTTCGAGGTGAGTAATGATTGTAAATGATGTTTTGAGGGTTTGAAACCCCGAATTTCACATCACAGTGCTATATTGAGGTGAGGCACACGCTTGATGATGAGCGTGGGGTCGTGCACTGTTGGGGATTGTGACTTAGTCCGTTCCGAATGATTATTGTGAGCACGTGATTTTTGCCCTATATGAGAATTACTCCCAAAAAGTCAAAATAAAATAATTTTTCTTTGCGTGCAATTTTAGAATTTTAGTCCATAATTTTTCACAGGCCCAAAGAGACCCAATCTTCCCAAACGACCCAGTCAATTTCAAACTGGGTCGACCCAGTCCATAACCCAAAAGACCCAAACCCCCTTTTCATTTTTCTTTCATTTTTCATAAAACAAAACAAAACAAAAAAAAAATAAACCAAAAAAACCCTAAACTACCCGCCCACCCCCTTTCTTCTTCTTCCTCTCTTTCTCTCTTCTTCTCCAAAAACTCAAAAGCCCCCCTCCCATGGCTGCCCCTCTCCCATCGTCCCCTTCATCCCCCTCGCAACACACACACACACGAGCAGCAACCATGGCTGCTGCCTCCCTCATCCTCACGTCGACACACAGAAACACATACACATACAACACACAGCCATAGTCCACAAAAACACACGTACGCATGCACGAGCTGCCAGCTCCATCGTCAATGGCGCCCTTTCACTGCTTCGTCTTCACGATGGCGCCCTCGTCCAGTCGTTGTTGCTACTGCTGCGTTCTTCATCCGTCG